CGATAAAGTTAGGCAATGCCGTGACTGATGTGAAGCGACCTAGACATAAAATTTTGACTAAGGTTGTTACGTCATTTTAATAACTGCATCAAATTTAAATGCCGTGCTTAATATCATATTTTATACGCGGCAATATGGCTGTACCACAAATGGATCAATCCCATCCAATCATAGAAGCGTAAAATAGCAGTATAGTGACAGTATATATAGTATAGTATAGCGTGGCGAATCTTAAAACTAACCGAAAAATCCTTTCTAATGATGATTCCATTTGCATTTTGAATCTTAATCGTGTCTGAATTTAGCTGTTTACAGGCTGCAACATCCAATAGCCATCTGGTGAACTGTGTGCTTTAGTATCATCCTTGTATAAAACAACCGATAACTTAGATATGTAAAAAAAATAGAAACTTGGCGGTGCAAAGCTGCCAATGTGACGTGCCTGGAATTGATTACAAACAAAGCAATTTGTACTTAGCTTGAATGTTAAGTTTACGTTGAGCTTATTTTAATGTATTGTATGTATTTGTAAAGAATGCGCTCTCTCTATATTTCATAATGATAGTTCCGAGTAGTGTTGCCGCTTAGATCATAATACTAAAAAATAATAAAAGGCTTGTGTGTCTGCGTGTTATTGCTGGTAATATAAGTAATTTTTTTCTCTCTAATTTTTTTAAAAAAGTTTGATATCTAATGGTTTTGCTTATGCATCTACCAATTAAAGGAAAATACTATCAATCAACAGAGATATTTCCAACCAACATCAGATCTCATTTATTTTTAATTCTCTTACAAAAACGTTATTTTTCCTCGAAAATTAATCATAATTTTCCACGAAAGTTTGGACTAGTGTAAAGTTTTCACATAGGTTTTACCGATGTAATTGCAAAAAGTATGACCAGTGTTCAATTATTTAACTAAATTTTAATACTTAAAGTGCCATCGGCTGGTGGGGCCTTCACCGTGGCCTTTCTAGCTTGGTTGTTAATTAATAACACAAGCATCGTCTTCGCGACTTGCGGTGTCGGTAAAATAAACACGTGCGTTGTTATATTGAATGCGCAGACGGCGCGTCGGGGCCCGCTACCATCACTAATGAAACACCAAGACTTCAACGAACAATCCTAGATACATGTAGGGTTGTCAGTAGAAGCGGGGTCAACACGTGATGCCATTTAAAGAGTTTTTATGTTTTTTTTATAATGTATTTTCAGAGTTTAGATTTCGAGTGGTGTCAGTGATAGAGATTCTCTCGGTGAAGATATGGAAAAGATTATATTTACCATATATAAAGATTAAGCCATTTAGGGTTTAATACATAATCACAGTTAGACTCCGTTAGGAACAAATAAAATTTCATCACTATGTTTACAAAATTAAACTAATATTATTTTTAAAACGTGAAAACAATAAAACAAACAAACAATAGCACTATCCAACTGTAAAAATAACTCGTAAACTTTTCCGTGATGCTACTTGTATTTCCTCAAAAGTTGATATTCGAAAATTTAAAAAATGTAAGTAATGTGGATTTAAATAAAAATACGGGTGGGAATGGGTATTAAGTCATATTTTTTTTAGTATGAAAGCCAGAAACAAAAACTCAGATCTATGATTTTGCTCCAATTGTCCACCCATAAAACCGTTAAAAGTAACATTACGTACATTGTATATTAATCATTTTTATTTCAAAACTCCTAATATTTTATTAAGAAGAAGGCTCTACAACTTTTTATACGGCGTACCCTGTAGCCCTAATTAAAAACATCGAATAGTTCAACCGATGAGATAGCCCCCCAGCAAATTACAGTGCGACGACCTCACGCTCACGTCCCTCACAAATCACAAAATAGTATTCTCGGATCCGATGTGATATTCGAAGAATTTGAAGCTTCACTCGCTTCGATCTCAAGTAGCCTTTAATATCTTAATCTTATCATGAGCGCAAAGCATTGATACGAAACTTTATATATATGCGAGCAATCGACTTCTTATCAGTCGTTTTAGTGAAATTTATTGCAGTCATAATTTCGAACATGTTTGTTGTTATTCAGACCGAACATATTGCTGTTTGTGTGTGTGTGTGTGTGCATGTGTGCAAGTGCATGATGGCTCAGTACCGTGCCTTGGTATTTATTGATTGCTACGCAAAAAAGAATTGAGTCAATTATTTAACCTCTTGCGTGTATTTTATTCAAAAATGATCAATCTAGATTATCATCACAGTGACGACGTATGGTAGAAGTTTGTCTTTTTATAGAATAAGAATGACAAACGAGCACACAGTCCACCTGATAACAAGTGAATGCTGTGGCCCATAGGCATCTACATCTATCCTCGATTAAGAATCAAAACGCAGATGCGTTGTCACCCCTGCGGACTAAGATGGAATGCCTCGTTTCCAGTAAAGAAGGGTCTCCGTATCTCTACACTACCATACCATGCAGCATTAAGCTGCTATTTTACGCTGGTATTCTGTGTGAGAGTGGTCCTACCCTTTCCGCAGTCGAGCCGACCCATTCGTGCTACCATAGTATAGCTGCAGCGTGGCTCTACCACGTATGAGGTGTAAGAGTCGAGAGAGAGAGAATGTCACAACCGTACTCTGGCACAGCCGTACCCAGTCTACCCTATGCCGCATTTCACGTAGTGTAAGATAATATGGGAAATACCAGAAAGATCTCATGGGTTTCGATTAATGGCAGTATGATGTATGACTATCTCGTTTACGTCAGACGTAAAAAAACGACAGAAAGCAGCGTCAAATTTGAGAGACGTATAGTAATAAGATCGGGAATTAGTCTGCCAGTCGTAAAGGTTAAATCAAATTCTCCCTATAACAGTACTCCCGTTCAGTAGAGGACTTTAACAACGGTTTGTTTTCTGCTTATAATTTTTTTTCACAAATCCACTGTTGTACATAGGCCTCCCCCAAGGAACGCCTCAAAGCACGGTCTGAACTATCCATCGACTTTTTGCATCTTTTAGCAGATCTTTAAAATATATGTACAATTAATAATAAAATACATACGAATTATTATTTCGCCAATAAATCTTTTCATATCAATGAACCTCGGTATTCATCTACATAACCGCCCCAGGCAATTTAATTTACAAATACAAATTGGCTTTTAAATAAATTTACTTATGTTCGTATAAAATTTGTTATTAAGGTATTATATATAATTTATTAAAAGCTGAACATTGTTAAGGTTGTACGTATTTCCAGAAGGACATGTTGAAACGTAATAAGAAAATAAAAAATAATGCTAATAAACTTTACGTTGCTTTCAAAAGACCACCAGGACTTGAGAATAACTTTTTTTATGATTACGATTCATTAGGACGGCTGTATTGATACATTTATTACATTCCATCTTGGTTCGCGGAGGCGACTTCTTGCAGCCTTTTTTGTGTGAAGTTAGTTGGTGATGCCCATGGACGTCATTAACCACTTACCATCAGTTGTGCTGTTAGCTAATGAGCGAACAACTATACTCAATTAAATTGGCAAATGTGCCAATTTAAGTGAATGTAACCTTGTCATGTATTAATTGACGTCATTTCCGTTTAATAAATATATATTCTGTGAAATGTGGGGTGTTATTCGCACATTTATGATAAAAGTTGCTTGTTTGCTATAATACTAAGATTTTGTATCTATCACATCACAATATAGGGTGATAAAGGAAACGAACGCTTGATATAAATGCCCGTAACACACTGATCAATAAATATTGCTTAAAACTATGCTGTGTAAGTAAAAATGCTAAGTTAACTACGTGTGGTATGTGGGTATTACTTTTAACATTCAGTTTCATCATCATCATCTATATCATCACATATCAAGTCCACTACTGAACACGGTCCTGGGTCGACAACACCCATCGATTTCCTGAAGCTGTTACCAGGTTGTCCCTTCATCTATTGGTGAGCCGCCGTACACTTTGCTTACCGATGCGAGGCTGCCAATAGAACTTTTACTCGCCATCGGTTCTTCAAGCTATGTGGCCGATCATGGACTCTTTAGTTTACTAATCCGTTGAGCGATATTTTTTAATTATAGGATTAGGGTGACAAACGAGCACAGAGTTCATTTGATGGTGGAAGTGGTTGCTGTGGCCAATAGACATCTACATTTATCCTCGGTTAAAAATCAAAATGCAGATGCGTTGTCACCTCTGCGGGCTAAGACGGAATGCCTCGTTTCTAGTAAAAAGGGTCTCCGGTTTTCTACACTCACAATACGAAACACAGTAGTATATAACTTTTATTGAGTGTACGCAGTTTAATGATATGGTAATTGTGATATAATACGTATCATAGGTTATTAAAACACGATCGGACATACGGGAAAGAATTAATGTCAGATTTAGAAAGAGATTTCCAAAAAGAAAATATTTTAAATAACAATTCTTTTAAATAAAATCCACGGACGATCGTTATGTTATTTTAATGATAAATATGGTGTAGTGGATTTAAGTTTTTGTTTTTATTATTGTTTAATTTAAACAAAAATTTTTTTCTTTAATTTCCTAAACTTCATAGTGTAATGAGTTTACAAATGCAAACATAAGCAAGGTACAGAAATGAAGAAGCCATAAAGTCACAGTGTAACTACGGACGCAGTAATGTTCGGAAAGGCTTTGTCTTTTATTTATATTATATCAATGTCAGAGTCTGAGTCGAGGCTGATTATTTTCACGGTCTGTTTCAAATAAAATGCGAGTACTTTAGCTATATAATGCCGGTGTACCATTAACGGTTTAGAATAAGCGGATAGGGAACAATAGCAAAAAGCTCCCTAGAGATGGCTGCTTCGTGAGTTCGTGACCCGAGGGGCCGCCGCATAATGAACGTTATTCCTCTCAGTACCGCTGCATCGAACTTGATTACTTGGCAGTCGGTATAAGACAATCGCCCTATTTATTTTAAATGAAAAAAAAAATAATATCATGTTTTATTTTTCTTTTTCAGAATATGTGACTTCAATAGCCGAAATGGAGGAGGAAAGTGCAATAAGTTCAAGCGAGTTGCGCGAGGCGCCTCAAACGGACTCATTAATCAACGGTAATGTTACTGAAAAGGAAACAAATCATGCGATCGACGAAAAAGAAGCGAATGTTAGTGCATGTGTGAACAATAAAGATGAGAGCGGTGTTATTCTAGATGGTTTAGAGGACAATAAAAATGTGACAGTTGAATCGTTTTTAGAAAACGAAGTTTGTGAAGTGATTGACGACGCGCGGTCTTTAGGAGACCTGGACAGTTTACCCGCGGGCGACGAGCTGGCACTCGGAGCTGCGGGTAGTGACAGTGGAGTAGAGGGATGTGGTCGAGCTCTTAGCAGCGGTGGAGGCTCCCGGTCGTGTGCTTCGAGTGTAGTGTCGTGCGGCTCAGGCTGCGGCTCTGAAAGTTCATCTCTAGCGGGAGCGCCGCTACGTACAAGACGCCGTGTCAATGTCACAGTCATAGAATCAAAGAAAAGTTCTCCTCTTGGATCTTCCACGCCCCGTCCGACCACCGCGCCACGTGGTCCCAATCTAGCAACCCGAGAACGCGCCAGAAGTAGAGAGAAGCCAACGCCACCTGAAAAGCCACGTCCTCTAACACCGAAACCGCGAATCCGGCCCACCACCGATCTTCCAAACTTAATCCGTGAAAGTCCTGCCCTGCGTGCCAAACCTACAAAAACGTCTACTGCGAGATGTCGTACTCCAAACTCTCCGAGCGACGATAAGAAATGGCCTCCAAACGGTCCACGGTTGACACCAGTCTCGGACTCAGGTGCGACAAGAGTGGCCGCTGATAAGTACGGAACTCTACCGCGAAGGCGAAGAGAAGCTGATACAGAAAACTCACCCAAGCACGAGAATACACCGCCCACCTCCAGGAGGCCGACCATCACACGCTCTGCGTCTTCTCGATCAACAGTGAAGACGAGAGTACGTATTTACGCGGAGAAGAATTGCCAGACTGTATTAATAGGAACGGACATCGAATCAGCGTTAGCCGGGATAATACCTAGTATTGAAAGGTAAGATTAGTAGGTATCAACATCGTCATCGTGATCATCACAGCTTATCAAAAGTCGACCGCTAACCATAGATTTCCCTCACAAATTGCCTCATAGGGGGAATATATGCTATAGTTGCCATACGTGACTGAAAAAATTAAAAAACATATACATAGTTTTATATGATTTTTCATTAAAGTGCAAGAGCATGTTCGCAAGTACAGATGCACTCTCTATTTCTCGGTACCATAGTCCGATGGGACGGCAATCCGACACGACTGGAGAGATCGGGCGCGGGACCAACGACTTTGACTGCTGGCCCGACCTGAGATTCCCTTAGAACCCGGGACCTCATGACTAGCAGCTTTAAAGCTGCGACAATTTTTGCTGTAGTTAGAACTATAGAAAAACAAACTCTATCTGCAGTGTAGTAAACACTGCAGATAGAGTTTGATTTTCTATAGTATTGTGGACAAACGAGCTCACAGTTTACCCGATGGTAAGTGGATGCTGTGGGGCCCATAAACATTCACATTTATCCTCAATTAAGAATAAAAATGCAAATGCGTTGTCAACCCTGAGGACTAAGGTGGAATGTCACGATTCCAGTAAAACGGGTCTCCGGTTCTCTACTCTCACCATACAAAACACATCAGTATTACGCTGCTATTTTACGCTGGTATTCAAATTTTCTTAAAATACCTATCACAGAATTATTTCGCAGATGTATATTCACAATGAAATCTGAATGATACGTATATAATATTTTAGATCAGTTTAGTCTAACCTTTGGACACCAAATAAGAAAATTAAATAACATGTAAAAAGAGTCCAAAGCCGATAACAAAAGGTATTATGATATCCAAGTAGTGTGTTTATACCAGTTCTGGCTCACGAGCCAGAACTGGAACAAACCAGCCCTCGTCGCCTGCCGGTGGAAACATCTCTTCCTTTTGTTTTTCAATACACCATTTTCTTATGAGTACGACATATAGTAAAGTATCTTTACAAAAAAGTTCACAAAGAGTATTTAAATTGGGAGCTCTTAAGCTACTTATATCTATGATAGTATTATTTTCATAACAAATATCTTGTACCCATTTAACTTTTTCACATCCTTTTAAAACAATCTTTTTATTTTCCAAATATGTCTTGATAATTCTGTGCAACTCTATAATCTAGAAAGCCCTCACTCCATCGATACCCTCTATGCTTTTCAATCCAGCCAATTTGTTTTAACTCTTCAAGAGGTAGTGAAGTCAATGGTCACTCCTGTAAAATAGCATCATGCTATAAGCAGGAGTGCTACCAAACCTGGGCTGACGCATCAACGTTCTGGGATGTAAACACCAGCGCTCTAAAAAAGAAGTATAATTCCGCCTCCAGGTCCTTCAAAAGAGTCATTGCCAAGGCAAAGTCAGAACACATAGGCAGAATTGGCGAGAAACTAGTTCGCTTTCCTTCTGGAACCCGTGCATTCTGGTCTTTCGCCAAGGCTGTCCAGGGAAATTTCTGTCAGCCATCTCTTCTATCTCTGCACAGGGAGAACGACTCACTGGCCCATGCCGCAAAGGAGAAAGCCGATCTGCTAGGCTCTTTCTTTGCGTCCAACTCGACTCCTGATGACGGGAGGAGTACGCCGCCGACCATCCCGCGGTGTGATTGCTCCATGCCGGAGGTGCGGTTCACACAGCGCTCGGTTCGCACTCCTCTCCCTGGACATCATCATTTTATTACATCCCCTTTTCTCTAATTATAAAACGTCTAAAGGCTAAAGCTAAGATTAAAAGCGTCTATTAATGAGACACTTACAATTAATTAGTTATTTTTTGGTGTGAGACTCCTGGACAATCAACGACGCTTAATAGAAAGTTATCGATATGTGCGTTGCGCTGCACTATGCCCAAGTGAGAGTGAGCGCGCAATGACATTCTCTGTTTTTCGCACACTTTAATTATTGACCCGAGTGGCTACGCCTACTGAGATTTTGCATTTTTATAAAATATTCCTTAACGCTATAGTTTATAGTTTAATCTTTGTTGCATGAATGCTGGAGATATGTGTAGGCGTAATTGTGTATTTATTGTTTGTCTATGTGTGATAGCTGTGAACCGGCGACACGTGTCACGATATTAAAAGACATTAGATGGCATTTCTAGTGCCTTATTATTTAGATTTCTATGATGTAACCCCTCATCGGTCTGCGTTCATCTATTCTTCTGTCATCCTTCGAAATCTACAAGATGTTTCTTACTTTTCCCTTATGACGTTTCCTAGATGAGATGAGATTCTCTCACTCCGCTAGACTAGAGGTTTTCAAAAACTTTTCTAATTTGTGTACTTGTTATGTTTAACCACAGCCGTATAGAAGTATCGCGTTGCCATCGCGGCGTGCAGGCAAGTGCGCGCGACGTGGAGGCGGCGCGGCTGGCGGCGGCAGCGGCAGCCGCGGAAGCAAGTGCCGCCGAGGAGCGCGAGCGACGTTTACACGCCGAGGCGCAACTCGCAGCAGAACGCGCGGCCCGCCTTTCAGCAATCGCCGAACTCGAGCGAAACTCGCAGCGGCTGCTCGAACTCGCCGGAGCAGGTATAAGTTTTTTGTTGCGTTCGTCCAGCACGAAGTAAGCGTGCGACATATGGTGGACAAGTCGATAAGATATAATTATAACATTTAACAAAAAGTAAAAACCGACTTCAAATTGCTAAAAAAGAATGAGTTATCGAGCGTCAAAATTGTGTCTAAAATACGATATTTTTACCAACCTGGCCGTAACATTACTGTAAACCGCGATAACGACTTCAAATATATTTTCTATAGTTTTCATGCTTGGCAGCCATTTTTTTTTTAAATTATTATTGTGTCCTTATGAAGATAATGTTGCTGCACATTTCTTGTTTCGTTTTCCATTCGTCGCGTCGGGGTTGATATGGAATATTGAATGCTCTTATGTTGTGTAGTTGCAAAGAAATTACTATTATATATTTTTTTAAATTTCAAGGTGCTGGTGCGGGAGCGGAGGGATGTTTGCGTGCACTAGAGGAGCAACTGCGGTCTGCGGGAGAATTAGCCGCGCGGCAACGCGGAGAAATAGACACCTTACGCGAACATTGCAACAGATTACACAGTGTAAGCAATTTTTTTTACTCTGTATAAGCCAGTGCTTGATTAACTTACCTAAAAGTAAGTTGCGATGTGTTCGTCCTTTTTTATTTACACGATTTTTCTTTATTTTCCGTGTTCGATTTCATCCGTGTAGTGGAGGTGTTAGAATTATTCACTACCCCATATCGCCATATCATATAGGTGTCGTAAGAGGCGACAGATAAAACTGGACCAGGAGAATGGCCGCAGCATCTTTCGGTTAACAGCTAAATAAAAATAAAAACCTGCGGAAGCCAAGTCGTTTTGCCAAGCATGGCTACTAAAGTAAATATCCCACCTATGAAGCAATCTTTGAAAGAGGTCTGTGTTAAGCTGCGGACTTTCGATTGATTCGAGTTTAAAAGTACGCACGACTCAAGCGAACCTTTATCTTAATACCAAATGTTCAAGATGTCAAGCTCTACAAGGTTACGCGACAAAATGCCTGGTATTTGCCCTTGCGTTACACCTAATGAACAAAACTACTTTGAGGGACTTAAAGCGTCACGGCGTTTTTAAATCGTTACACCAATATCAGCCGTATGCTAAAGTATTTAAAGTTGTATTATTGATAAGTGTTATCACAAATTTAATTCTTCCGTGACTTTTTGGATTTACTCGACTTCTCATGCGCAAGATCCACTTTTCACAGGAGGCGTTGAGTGCCCGCGAGGCAGCTCGGATTGCCGAGGCACGGTTGGTGGAGGCGGAACGCGAGGCGACCGAGATGCAGGACTTCCTTGCGGCCGAGACCAGTGCACTCAGCGACTCACTGCGCGATGCCGACGCCGAGCTCGTGCGTCTCACTGCCGACCTCGAGCGCAGGTGAGACTTACACGAAAATGGCGGACTAGTTGTTTATATATATATATATATATATATATATATATATATATATAATATATATATATATATATATATATATATAATATATATGCTTATGTATGCTATTTGTTTTGTTTTCATAGAGCTAGCCAGAATTATTCTAAAGGAGTAGAACCTTTGTGAATTGAGGAAGAGGAGTCCAGTTGTGCCTCTGTATGGCTTTTTTAACGTGAGGAAAGGCTCATCACCTTCGTTGTGGGGGCAATGGAAAGGTTATTCCGGACATGCAAAAACCCCACGGTAGTCATGTCGAGTCACTAGTAGAGGCACAGAAATCGTAATAATAAGACAATAGAGATCGCATAGACGCGTGAGCTTGTCACCGCTACGTTGACGGACATCATTCACCATTTTTGATTTAGTTGCGCGGGGAACGTAAATTTATGTTATTTTAAATTTATAATGGTAAATTGCAGCATAATCATTTGTAAAAACCATCAAGGACACGTGTAGGACAAGGAGTTGATTATTACTAATTATCATTGTTTTAACTAATTTACTCCTAGATGAATACTTTACTTTGATATTTACCTTTGTAAACTTTCATTTATTACTTTTCGTATGTACAAATACCATTGCTGCTTTTGTTCTACTGTAATACGCGACGCACGCGACCTTGACAAACTCGCCAAGCAATGTAATGTGAACATTGGATATCATTGTGCATTGCGTATGTTTATAATACGGTAAGATGTGGCGACATCGGTTTTGGAAATATTCGAGTGCTAATTCATTACCATTGTTTTATTTATTACTATTTCTGTGAGTAGAGGCCTCGCTAAACAAACAATGATTAGTGATGAAGTAATCCCACGCCACACACGATTCACAATTTATTGAAATGTTTAGATAATTATAATTAATCGTTTGCGTTTGACAGGCGCGCGGAGTGCCGGCAGCTGGTGCGCATGTGCGAGCAGCGGCGGCAGGAGGCGCTGGCGGCGGCGGCGCGTGCGCGCTGTGGGGGCGGCGCGGCGCCCGCGCTCGACGCGCTGGCCCGCCGCCTGCGCGCGCTCACCGACCAGGTGCTGCGCGCCTACGCACTGCCGCGCGACGCCGCGCTGCCCACGCTCTACCACAACGACGCCTACCACAGGTACAGTACAGCTCTTGACGCGCTGGCACACCGCCTGCGCGCGCTCACCGACCAGGTGCTGCGCGCCTACGCACTGCCGCGCGACGCCGCGCTGCCCACGCTCTACCACAACGACGCCTACCACAGGTACAGTACAGCTCTTGACGCGCTGGCGCGCCGCCTGCGCGCGCTCTCCGACCGGGTGCTGCGCGCCTACGCACAGCCGCGCGAAGCCGCGTTGCCCACGCTCTACCACAACGACGCCTACCACAGGTACAGTACAGCTCTTGACGCGCTGGCGCGCCGCCTGCGCGCGCTCACCGACCAGGTGCTGCGCGCCTACGCACAGCCGCGCGACGCCGCGCTGCCCACGCTCTACCATAACGACGCCTACCACAGGTACAGTACAGCTCTTGACGCGCTGGCACACCGCCTGCGCGCGGTCACCGACCAGGTGCTGCGCGCCTACGCACTGCCGCGCGACGCCGCGCCTGCCCACGCTCTACCACAACGACACCTACCACAGGTACAGTACAGCTCTTGCGCGCGCTCACCGACCAGGTAGGTACTGCGCATTGTCTTATTATAAAATGAAAAAAAAGTAATAATAATAATAATACTACACTCTATTGTGAAGAGTCAAAATGTGTCGAAAAAGGCACGTTGCAATTCACAATGCTGTGTTGGTCCCTACTTTAACGTATGGTAGTGAAAGTTGGGTGTGGCAGAAGAAGCACGAGAGTAGAATCAACGCAGTAGAAATGCGGTTGTTAAGGACTATGTTAGGACTGAATCTGAATGACAGGGTGAGAAATTGTGTGATAAGAGAAGAGTGTGGTTTGCAAGATGATGTTTGTGACCAGGATTAAGAAAGGAATGCTTCGGTGGCTTGGTCATGTGGAAAGAATGAATGAGGAAAGAGTGACAAAGAAAATTTATGTTGCAGAAGTGAATGGCAGAGTCGGAAAGGGACGTCCTAGGCGAAAATTTATCGACCAAATTGGCGATTTATTGAAAACGGGCCGAATAAGGAGTACCCTTAACCGACGAGCATGTATGCGTAGGTATATGGATGTGAAGGAGGCGAGAGAGGTGTGTCAGGATCGTGCCAAATGGAAGTCTGTAGTCTCTGCCTACCCCTCTGGGTGACAGGCGTGTGTTTATGTATGTTTTTGAAAAAAAAATTATAATTATTTTAACATGATTAGTTAAAATAATTATAATTTTTTTTCATTGATGACATTGATGACAGAAAAAACGATAGAAGAGACATTTATTCCTAACATTTGTCCCGAATAGCCTTTTTCGAATCAGCGTGAATTGTGTGTCTCATAAATATTTACACCCTTATTAATCTCATACATTCTCAATTACATACTTAAGCTACATAAATCTTTACCGTATGATCCTGTAATATAGACTAAGAGGAGGAAAGACAGAGTCGTGGCCACCATTACCCTACGGTTAAAACAGCTCTTACTACTAAACAATTTCTAGATATTATATCGGTTAAGCTTTATAATAAAATTAATAAAACAATAAAATATACCACTTAAAATATTGACTGCAAAAAAAACTGGTTAAAATCACTTAACTACGCTGACACAGAAGGTTACTATGCTAGAATTATTTTGTCCGCGTAGTTTGGGTCATAAATCATCGAAGTATTACACGCTCGCTCTCTCTCTCTCTCCCACTCACGGGCCTTAGGGGCGAACATAGTGATGCGCTTTATTCTTGTCGATAAGCGTTATCGATAATGTATTTAATTTTGTCATTATGTGGGTTAGTAATAAAAAAGATAAAACAACGTATTTATTAAAATAAGAATAGTAATGATTTAAAATAAATTATTAGGTATCTATGTATTATAAAAACTATAAGTACAAATGTTTGGAATGTAACAAGTTATATTAAAAATAAATATAAAGATAATAACTTATATCTAAAATTAAATCTAAAACTATTGACATTAAAATTCTACATCAGAGTCATCGTCATTCACATGAATTACTTTCTATCTAGTATATTATAATTGTTGTTATCGATAATCCGCCGCGCACATGCTTACTGCCCTAGCCGGGCTGAGGCCGAGCTATGATTTATGACCCCAACTGCACGGACAAAATAATTTTACTATAGAAAATATTACTTGATAGTAAACACTCAAATTGTTTTTAAAAATTTGCAGTAAACTTAACAATTTGGCTTGAAGTAATTTCTTATTTGCTGCAGAACAGATACAATATTTCATTTACATACACACATATTACGTATTTAAGAGCCGTGGTAGCTCAGATGGTTAAAGCTAAATATAACAGAATGCGAGTAACCCGGGTTCGATCCCCGCCGGCACCAATGAAGTTGATTGCAATTTTAAGTGCTGATTTACCACCTGCTCGGCGGTGAAGGAAAACTACGTGAGGTCTGAGGAATAAGAAAAAAAATATTTCGAAGACATGTGACATTGGGGCAGCGCGGCGGACACTTCCTTGCTCTAAATCCTTCTCAGAAATGAGGGGAGGCCTGTACCCAGCATTGGGACGTATATACGCTGTAACTTTACTTTTTTACGTTTATATTACTCACACACATACACACGCACACACACACGCACACACACACTAACCAAATAAAAAATTATAATAACATTATGTAGACTGATTTTATATGTAATGTAAATGTTACACTTTGTATTTGTAACTAATACTTACCTTGTAGTTTTATATGTTTGATTTTGATATGGCCATGTTGGCCTGGACTCAACAAATTCTTTCAAAAGTCGCAAGTAAAAAAAGCGTGGGTTGCACATTTTTTGACTAGTTTCCGAGTGACTCTCCCATTTGTAGATATTTTTCTTGACACTACGCAGATTTTTTTTAGTTTCATCTATCTTAAATTCCACAACATATCTGTTGTTTATAATAATGAAACCACGAGTATAAATCAACGTGTACTATCCGCAGTCACAGCGACAGTGGAGAACAGTTGTCGCCGGATGAAGAGGCTCGAGGTGGACTGCTCGGTGCGATAGTGCGCGCACTGCGCTCTACGCCCGCCGCCGCCCCCGCGCCCGCCCCGCTCGATGACGAGCGCTCGCGCGTCTCCGACGACAACGACAACTCGGCCGACCTGCTCGACTCCGAAACCGAGCCCTGCCTCGTCACCGATCCAGGTCAGCACCATTGTAACTTTGCACTTTACTTACACGCCAGTTTAAAAAGTAAAGTAAAGTTACAGCCTATATACGTCCCACACCTGGGCACAGGTCTCTCATTTCTAAGAGGGTATTAGGGCAAGGAAGTGTCTGCCATGCCGCCCCAATGCGTGTTGGTGAACTTCAAATGTCTTCGATTTTTTTTTCTTATTTCTCAGACATGCAGGTTTCCTCACGATGTTTTCCTTCACCGCCGATCACGTGGTAAATCAGCACTTAAAATTGTAATTAACAATTTCATTGGTGCACGCCAGTTTAACCGATTGGATAATTGACGCCCTCTTAAAGAATCAAATTAAATTGATACGGGCCTCTCCCTTACAGAATTTACTCTAATCGACACGCTTAACAAGTTGATTAACGACGTAGTGTCAGATGTATCCCTTGACGCTGCTTCCTTTCGCCGAAAAATTTTATGGCATTTCCAATAGTTGCCTTTTACAACAATGAAATGAATGAAGTGAAAACTGTTTAATGATGCATTTATTATTTTTTTGCCATAAGAAGAATCCAAATGTATATATAGTATGCCCAAATTTGCAGAGGAGGTTCAGGATAAGTAATATAAGCGAATTGTGAAAATCATGTAAACATTCTGTCCTTTTTATATTTTAAATTCAGAATGCGTGCATTATTTTAACTGATTGTCATTCATAAATATCTAACGTTTACTATTTTACTATGCGCGCACACATTTGTAAGGGTGGCTCGTTTACAAATGTAGGTACCTTGATGTGCATCTTCCCGCGCTGTTCTCTCGTTAACCGTTACACCGCTAGGTACCTACCTCCACCCGACCGGCCGACAGCGGACAGTGTTGACCGCGACCTCATAACCACCGAGTGTACTATTTTTATATTTTCGTAGGTAGTGTCGCTTCGTTACCCATGACGGAACGAAAATATACGAACCACGAATACAATAAAACTAGGAAACGGTGCGGATATTTTAAGCAATGAAAGTTTACGTGGTGCGCAAAGATTATAGGAAAGTGAGTTTTTGTTCACGGTAAGAAATTTACGTACGTTTGGTAGTAAGATTGGTAGGTAATCGAAGAACAAATGACAGCTAATTAAACTACTCAATGCAGTAAGCTTAATTTAAATAATGAATATGAAGATAGGTGAATGGCGCATGGACCTCGGTGTCCTATACTATATCCTACAAACTCGCTGGACTTTTCACCATTAGACTTATCAGAACGCCGCAGCAAAATTATTGCTGCACCCACGAAAATCAAAAGTGCTCAAGTACAGATAATAAGTGTAAAAAATAAATTAAGAAAACGTGCTCTTCTATTCATGGAGAGAAACGGATTCCAACTTGAGTTACCAATAGTAGCTATTGGGGCTGCTTGCGTAATTTAGTAGTAAATAATTTATTCCTTTTTTAAATTCGTCATAATAATTACAGTCATCTGTTAGGTCGTTGATAATTTTTTTATTTTTTTTTGTTCTTGACTTTTTTATTATATAAAATTTGTTTTTTTGTATATACGCCATTTTTTGTGTTTTAATTTTTTTTTTTTGGGGGGGAATGTGGTTTTTTGTTAGTGGTTTGTTGTTACAATTTATTGTGACGATCCTAAGCCCGTTTAAAGTATGAAGGAAAAATTGGAATTATAATTTGCGTCGTGTAGGCATTAAGTAGTGAGCGTGTTAATAAGAAAGTAAATAGTAGGCAAAAAAATTTTGAAATTAAATTGCACGCATAGGAGCGCGCGTACGCTGTAAATCACATTCATTATTTATTTATTGCCCTATTTACTAGTATTTTCAAAAGCAGTATATCAGCATTAATATATTGAATTTAAATATTAAATTTGGATACACTTCGAAAAAATTACCGTATATACATGGGAAAGAAGCAAATAAAACCACGATAGCTTTTATAATTAGATAAATGAGGAACAGTGTAAGACACATTGGTTTACCGAGGTTTCAACGTGGTAACGCATCATTACTTGGTCGCGGTTAAATGATCTATTTAAGAACTACTTACCATTATGTAAACTGTGTACTCGTTTGTCACCCTATACTATAAGAAAGGGGAGTTGGTCGTTTGAGTGAATGACACAGAATAAATGGGATTCTTCACTCTTATTGGAATGCTGAAAACAAAGAAATGCTTCGGTGGTTTAGACACGTAGAAATAATAAATGAGAAAGGAGTGACAAATCAAATTTGAATGACGGAGTCGATTTCAATCGATGTCAAAGATTTATCACTTAATGTTTCCTCCACCCGAAAATATTTTCTGTAGCATAAAATTCCAAATTATTTGTGGCATTTTCTCACATAACGTGGAAATTTTTTTTTGCAAATACTAATGATACAATTTGATCTGAGGTTTCTGTTTAAAAGGCTCCAATGCTGTAATAAAGTCCTTTTTGTCCATTTATTAAGCACAGGGTCAAATTTTATACACACAGTCCTCTACTGCATATTTGGAAGGATTTGTCGTAATGTCGCTTAGCAGACCTATTGACTATTGCAGTATCAGACTAGTACTTTTGATGCTGCTTCCCATCGTTTGTGGCTATTTTACATCTGGTTTAAATATCAGATGTTTATTCCGGCAATGTTGGAGCCTATTATGCTACTTACTATTATACTGCATATTGCCATTTACTTACATGTTATTTTAAAGCCCTATTATATATAATGCTTACAAAGTTGAAGAGGTTCTGCTTGAACATTATATGAAGAGGTTTTTACGAATAATACTAACGCAGCTTTTTAATTATCTAAACGCATTTTAAGTTAGTCGCAATTTACAAGTGTGGTTAGAAGCTTTAGTTCAGACAATATGGCATTGTACGCTCGCGGTAGTTTGATGGTGGGTTTCATTGGGTAGAATGCTTGGAGGAGTGGTGGTCGGGAGCAGAGGGCTGCGAGGGTGCGGAGGGCAATGAATTTGCAGGCGCCTGGAGCGGCGAGGAGTTATCTCCCGAACGGGAGTCCTACGGTGAAGATAGAGGTACGTCGACCATACTAACGCTTGTTGCATTACTAACAATATCGTTAAACTGTGCTTGCATTCCAACGATAAATGATTTATGGTGCTGTTCACACATATACGAATGGTTATCAATGACAAATCGTCGTTACTAAATTAATATTATTTGATCAAAAATATTTATAAAACAAACGAATCAAGTAAACCGTCCCCCACCTGGAAAACTACGAAACTAAAAACTGAATAATATGTTACGATATGGCGGATCGATTGGTATTTTTTCAAATCAATCATTATACTAATTTTAACCTCAGCAACTTTTATCATCATTACAGCCCTTCACAATGCCACTGCTAAACATAGACCTCCCCCAAGGAACGCCACAAAGCACGGTCCTGAGCTTCCTGCATCCATCGACACCAGGTCGTCACTCCATGTAGTGGGGGACGCCTTACCATTCGTCTAACTGTACGAGGTTGCCACTCGAGAATCTTTCTTTCCCATCGGTTGTCGGTTCTTCAAGCAATTGGCCCATTGCCAATTGAGCTTACTAATCCGTTGAGCTATGTCAGTTACTCTGATTCTACTGTGAATATCCTCATTTTGAAGTCTTATTACTCAGAGAACCCCGAGCATAGCCCTTATAGCCCGAGCATAGCCCTACATCGCTCACTGAGTGACCGCGAGCTTCCTCATACGGCCAGCAGTGAAAGGCCACGTCTCAGATTCATAAGTCAGCACTGGGAAAACGCACTGGTTGTACAATCACGTTTTGAAGTTTTGAAGTATATCCGATGAGAAGATGTGTTCCTGAAAGCTGCCCAGCTGAGTTGTATCTATCGATTGACCTCTCGATTGAAGTTGGGCTTACTTAGTCGGACGGAGTCAAGTAAAAATACTCGTCAATAATTTCGAGCGTAGTGCTCCTAACAACTACCGGCATAGGTGTGACATGGATGCGTTGAAAGACACTATTGAGGTTATTGAGCATAATGCTTAGGTCCTCCAGCGATTCTGCCATTAGGACTATATCGTCGGGAAATCGAAGATGAGTGACATTGATGTTAACACCATATTCGTTTCAGTCCACTTGCTTGAAATCGTCTTTCAATAAAGCGGTGAAGAGTTTAGGGGGTATAACTTCACCCTCTTACACCTCTCTGCAGTTGAATGGGTTCCGTTCACTGCTTCAGTACTCGGATTGCCATCGTAACGCTCCTGTACAAACACTTCATCACTTCGATATACCGATCGTTAAATTGGCACCGCACAAGGGATTATAGCACCACTCAAATTTCGACGGAGTCGAAGGCTTTCTCATAGTCGCAAAGCAAATATAGAGTTAATAATAAAGTTTCGGTCATATATATATATATATATATATATATATATATATATATATATATTTTTATATATACATACAATATGTAACGTAATTAACGCACACCCTCAGACACCGCAATATACTAATATTTTGTTATAATCATAATACATACACTGAATTTTTAGTTAAACATTTTTATGCACTGATTATTTATCAAATTATTTATACTAATTCCGGAAGAATGTTGTGGTCGCAGTACAAATCCACGAACGCAAAGACTTTAACATGCTTGAAATAAAGTTATTTTTCTTCATTTTTATTGAATGACAGAATTAGTAATAATACAAATAAAACTGCACTCTTAAAAGTCTTATTGCCTTAAGTTACGGTCTATTTCAGTTTGTTTTGACTGTACAGATTTAGTGTGACTGTAATTTACGTGGTTTCAGTAAACGATTCTGAACAAACTACTTTCTCAAAGTGCGTTAATTATGTTACGTGTTGTATACTAATTTACCGAAGGGTCTATCTATGTATGAGGTCTATGGTACTAAAGCCGTTTCGGAAACCTGCTTGTTCGAGAGGTAGGAAGTCGTGGAGTCTGCGTGCTAGACGATTCTTAATGACTTTTGAAAACAGCACGGAGACGCGGCTCAGAAGAGAAATCGGTCTGTAGTTTTTCTAGAGAGAGACAACATGAGGTGGCACTACTCCGGAGAACGAAATTGAAGAGGTCTTTTCAGAAAGCTTTTACAAGTTCCGCTGTAATTACGTCTTCGTCCGGGGTCTTGCCGTTTTTAAGGTGCTGACGAGCCAATCTAATTTTGCTCAGACTGACGTTCGGGATATCATCGGAATAGTGTCGGATAAGACTTATCCATGGATCGTTACTTACACTTGTTTGTGCCTCCAACAATGACGTGTACAGCTGTCCGTAGAAACTCTCAATCTCACTCAAAATCTACGGTGTCCCGGAAACGATGGTTCCACATTCGGTATTCAGCTTCGACAGTTGGCTCTTTATAGCATTCAGATCTCTGTTAATGACTTTAACCTCGCAACCTTGGTTTCGCTCGGTCGCTTCTGGAAGAAAGAGTTGGGTTTCGTTGTCCAATCCCGAATTTCTATATCTTGAGATAACCGTTCTCTCTTGTGCCTAGTTTAACTTTCTAGTCTCTCATTAACATCGTATAGTGAATTTTGAGTGAGGAATGCATGGCTCTAGAGATATCCTCATACACTTTCTGCAACTCCTCATCGGAATATACTCAGTTTGGTGCGTAAGCCTGTATGACCTTCAGCGAATACCGTTTGGTGATTCTGAGTTTTAAATTCGCAACCCTCGTTGACACACTCCTAATCTTTACAACGTTCGTACGACAAATAATCCTATAATATTCCAGCGCAACTTGTCTATTCTTCTTTCAGATCCAGGGTCTTCTCGTTAGTTCTCCAGGTACGTGCGTTATATGTTGCCAGGTCGAGTCGTCTTAGGCGGCATTAGAACCTCCACCGGCACTGGGATTCCTAGCACTTCATGCCCAACGTTATCATGCCTTCATCGCCACGATTTGCACCATTTTTCATCGCCACCTTATCCCGGAATAGCGAGGCGCCGGAGGCTACTGTCATTTATTTATAACTCTTGCCATGGAACTGTATATTGACATAGTCGTCACGTTTGCGAGTTGGCTGGCAACCACAGTTTTTTTATTGTTTGCTGTTATCAGAAAGATGCTGCTGCCTATATCCTGCATTAACTTGCCTCTGTTGCCTCTTACCACTCCCATGAGAAGATATGGTTTTCGGAAAGGCTTTTGACGGAATGGATCACGTTATCCTGTTGCACAATTTACAGACATTAAGTATCCAAGGAGATTTGCACTGCTGGATAATAGTCGTGAATACCTAATAGAAGACAAGCAATAATTGTAGGCGGGGGCTGATCAGACTTTACAACTATAATATCTGGAGTACCACAAGGTTCTCACGTAAGGCCATTACTCTATAGTGCTTATTTATTTGATATCAACTCATATCTTAGGCATTCCAAATTTATGTTTGCTGGCAATAAAGTCATCGACGTGGATAAGTATAAACAACGAACCTTTACGTGTGAAACAAAATCTATATATAGTCTAATATTATTCCAATACGCAATAAATGCCCCCTACAAAAGTATTGAAAAAATACTTGGTTTTGTATTTAGAATGTAGAAAGCCTTCTAGTAACATTAAGTGCTTAAATCCTTTACTATGCATTTGTAAGAAGCTTAGTGGAATATATGTAATACATGTTGTATTTGTTTATGCAAGTTGTCTTCACAGTACGCTTAACAAATTAGTACCATTAAATTTATCCAGAGAAAATTCATTAAACCGTTTAAACGCAGCACGATTGTGTTACATACGAAGATAATTGTAGTTTCTAAGAAGTTTTATCATGAAAAACGTGGTACGATTTACTCGATGTTTTATTTTTACGTTCACAGCTACAGCTTGATGATATCGCTTAACGTCCTTTCAAAGAGCACTTATCATACAAAAAAATGTTTATTCCATCAGCCTTTGTTTCGTACTTTTCTCTTGTCAAATTCAATACTGCACACTAGGTGTGCGTTACTGTACAATACAGTAACACACACTGTTACTGTACTGTATTAAGTTAATCTATCTCAGTTCTTGGGGGTGATAACGCATCTCTGTTTTCTTTTTTGAATATGGTTGAAGGTATCCATAGCCTGTATTACCACACGTTAGGATAACTGTTATTTAATTCGTTATAATCACTTTTACATGTGGCAAAAATGAGTGGAATATATTTGTGGTCAGAGGGTGAATCGGCTTCGGCGTCGGAGCGCGAGTCACTGCGCAACCTGTCGGCGGCAATCACGCAGCGGCAACGCTCCGAGGCGGAGGACGCGGAGCGCGGCTCGCTGCTGGAGCGCGTGCTGGCGCTCGACGCGCGCTTGTCCGAGCTTCTGCGTGCGTTGCGCCTCGCCGCCGCACGCGCGCACGACGCTCCCGCCGCTGCGCTCGCGCACGCGCTCAGGTACGCACTGTGCACTATACACCGCGCACTGTACACTGTGCATTGTACACCGTGCATTGTACATCGCACACTGTAAACTGTCCGAGCTGCTGCGTTCGCTGCACCACCAGAGTTTTGTTTCTTTGAGTGGATATAATACAGTAGCATAGCCCATCTTCTGTTTCATTTCCCATAGTAGATTCTTACAACATCCACGGAATGAGTTGCATGCTACATGGTTGTGTGGGTTACCTTGTCATTTATAAAATGTCTTGGAATTGCGTTTGAAGAAAGAACAAACGCAAACTCTCAAACCAATGGCGAACTCCCAACCCCTTTGTCGGTATTTTTTTCTTACGTCAAAAAATGAAAAATATGTAAAAAATATAATTTGAAATGTTGAACAATTTTATCTCCAGTCATACTACTGCAGGAAATCAGAATTTAAAGATATTCCACTTTGAACAAAATTCACATAAAACTAGGCTGTATGGTATGTATTTTTCTGCCTTAATTGGCAAATCGTTATAACAACAACAACTGGTCAATTTAGTTTTGAATTATGGTAAAACTAATTACTAACACAGAAGAAATCCTAAAATAGGAACAAAATTCTTGTAGTTGAACGTAATGCTTATGACCTTTAACTATGCCAAGAATTAATATCAACCTGCATCCATGACAAATCTAGCAGTGTTGAAAAAAAATTTAAATGGCGAAAAACAAGATGACCGCTATACATTGAAGTAATATGTACTTTACGTACTAGAACAGCTATTTCAAACAAAAAATGTGCGCTACTCTGTGTTCGCGTGGTTGGTTTTTTATCATAGAATAAACATAGGTAGAATGATCAGTAGGTAATAATAGATTGTACTGTTAAATAGGTAAATTATATCGAGAACAATTTTTCAAATTTTGTCATTTATTTTGTATATTATGTTTGCTTATTTAGTATAATATTACATAATATTATATCACAATTACATTGTAATAATATTTTAATCTAAATATTTAAATAATAATAAACTATAATATAAAAAACATACTAAATATGTGTTTAACACAACTTGATAACATAACATTTAAATTAAAAATATATTTATTTAAATTAGAATAAGAGTCGTTCATAAATACTGGGCACGCGAGAGTTAAAAATTGACGAATTTATTCCACTTTGACTTTGATGTGGAAACCTAAGAATAAAATATAAGAATAATTAGCAGATTTAAATGTAAAAAATTTGGCCTAATTATGATAACTCATATATGTTTCTACAAAAAAAATGTGTATAATAATATATTCGTCCTATACTTAAGTATCCACAGAAATGTCGCATCTGAACAAATTAATTTCATAATCTATATTACGTGACACGAGATGGCGTCTTAGGAACAATTTGTTTTATTACTAATTTAATAATACTTTTTTGTTGATTAAGTATCTTATTAACCAATGAAACGTAATTATTTGGTTTTTACTGACATTTATTGAATTATTTGTGCTATATCTACGTATGCACGACGGTATATTTTTATCACGAGATTTTTTTTAAATCAACACAACACGTGTCAACTCTACAAGCGCCTAGCGAGTGACTGATTAAAGTGCGGTGTATGCACCGCAGTTGAATGGAACATAGTAGCTGAATGCAGTGTCGCCTCTATAGTTCGACTGTTCAGAGAATGCGTTCCTGACACGTCGCGATTGAACTGACGACGTAACTTTCTAATGGCGTTGCAGTTACGATAAAAATATTTTTGCTGGTTGTTTACCGTTTTAACAATTGATGAGCATTAAAACAACATTATTATATCAATAATCAATGAATGTTATAATTTTGTGCCAAACTGAGTGTCAAATAACTTGGTAAACAATATTTTTCTATATCTATACTGTGCTATTACAAGGTTATGTCAGCGCTTTATATTTGTAGTGCTGTGCTAACAATAACATGCAATAACAGAATTGTAATCTGTTCTTATACAGTTATACTTTATAAAATAATACGTTTTGTTTTTCTTTACTTTACTTTTATTAAATATATAAATAAAACTACGACCAAACCGAACGCGCGAAAGAAAGTAGCATTTTTATATTTAGGTTGATAATGGTAACCCCAAATGGCGTTATGGGCCGCCATTTTGTGACGCTAAAACAGTCGTCTGTTGTCGTTTCGTGCGCATAGACCACGTTCTTCAAGTGTAATGGACTGTTTCTGCTTTTCAAACTGACATCGGCGCTAAATCGGACTTCGATTGTGTTTTGTATTGCGTTCTTTTTACTTTTGGTGCATAATAATGCCTAAACGTGGACAAACATTGAAAAGTGGAGCCCGTGAGTTAATCATCAAGCTGCAAGATTACTTTGAGCGGGAGCGGCAAAATGGCGGACCCCTGTTACCTGTCGAACAAGTACAAGAACGCGTCTCTCAAGCGCTAGGAGTTAGCAAACGAACGATAACAAATATTAATAAAGAAAAGTTCGGCTCTACGGGCACGGAAGATAATATTTTACGTACTCCGAATAAGAAACGTAGAACTAAACCCGTGACAGATATTGACACCTTTGACGCCGATGCAATCAGAAATCATATATATGGTTACTATTCCAGAAAAGAATATCTCAACAGGAAGAAGTTTTTGGCATCGTTAAGAGAAGCTGGACTGTGTAGCGGGGGTAAAACTGCTTTAACCAAAATCTTAAAAGATATTGGTTTTTCGTATAAAAAAACAGACAAAAAATTTTTATTAGAACGATACGACATAATTTTAAAACGGATAAGTTTTTTGAGAGAAGCAAAAAAATATTGATAACTGGGATAATGTCGTGTTCATTGACGAGACATGGCTAAACGCCAATCACACGGTTTCCCGTTCTTGGACGGATGATACACAAGCGTCGACGTCGAAAGTACCAATGGGTAAGGGGGCCCGTCTGATAATATGCCACGCAGGTTCTGCAAAATACGGCTTTGTGGAGAACGCGTTACTGGCATTTCAATCAAAAACCACAAATGACTACCACGAGGAAATGAATGCCACTACATTTAAAGAGTGGTTCCAGAACGTGCTTTTGCCCAACCTACCAGAGCCTTCTGTAATATTCATGGATAATGCCTCCTATCACTCGGTTCAAATACTGAAACCACCTACCCAAGCTAATAAAAAAGAAGAAATGGTGGCTTGGTTACAAGCAAAAGGCATTGACGCAAATATGCAGATGCTAAAACTAGAGCTAATTAAATTAGTAAAAGAAAATAAAGCGGAAAATGTGCGATACCAAATAGATGAACTGGCTCTGGAGTACGGTCATCGCCTTCTAAGAATTCCTCCGTATCATTGCCAATATAACGCGATCGAGCTAATCTGGGCTCAAATAAAAAGTTACGCCGCCCGCCACAATACTTCCCTGCCATTCAGCACGAAAAAAGATGATGACCCTATTACGAGGGGTGATCCAAAAGTAATGATAATGAAAATAAAACACGGTAATTAAAGTTAAAATAATAATTTATTTTTCTACATCATCATCATCATCATCATCATCATTACAGCCCTTCACAAGTCCACTGCTGAACATAGGCCTCCCCCAAGTAATGCCACAAAGCACGGTCCTGAGCCACCTGCATCCATCGACTTCCTGCATATCTTACCAGGTCGTCACTCCATCTAGTGGGGGGTCGCCCTACACTACGCCTACCGGTACGAGGCTGCCACTCGAGAACCTTTCTTCCCCATCGGTTATCGGTTCTTCGAGCTATATGGCCGGCCCATTGCCACTTCAGCTTACTAATCCATTGGGCTATGTCGGTCACTCTGGTTTTACTGCGGATATTCTCATTTCTGAGTCTATCACGCAGAGAACTCTCGAGCATAGCCCTCTCCATAGCTCGCTGAGCGACCTTGAGCGTCATCATACGGCCAGCAGTGAAGATTTTAGAGATTGAGGTATACCTGACGAGAAGATATGTCGTAATTTCCCGAACGCTGCCCAGCCGAGTTGAATCCGTCGATTGACCTCTCGGTCGAAATTGGACTTACCTAGTCGGACTATTTGTCCCAGGTAAACGTACTCGTCAACAACTTCGAGCATAGTGCTCCCAACAACTACCGGCATAGGTGTGACATGGAAATTGAACATGATCTTTGTTTTGTCCATGTTCATCTTAAGACCTATCCGTTGGGAGGCACTATTGAGGTCATTGAGCATAGTGCTTAAGTCCTCCAGCGATTCTGCCATAAGGACTATATCGTCGGCAAATCGAAGGTGAGTGATGTACTCGCCATTGATGTTAATACCGTATCCTTTCCAGTCCAGTAGCTTGAAAACGTCTTCCAAAGCAGCGGTGAAGAGTTTCGGGGATATAACGTCACCCTGTCTTACACCTCTCTGCGAGTTGGATAGGTTTCGAGCTCTGGTTCTGTACTCGGATAGCCATCGTAGCCCTACTGTACAAACACTTCAGCACTTCGATATACCGACAGTCAACTTGGCACCGCTGAAGGGACTGCAGCATCGCCCAAATTTCGACGGAATCAAAGGCTTTCCCATAGTCCACATACGCCAGGCAAAGTGGCAAATTGTACTCAAAATCACTCAAAATCTCAGGTGTCTCGGAAACGATGCTGCCACACTCAGTCTTCAGCTTTGACAGTTGGCTCTTACGGGCAGACAGATCTCTGGCAAAGACTTTGGAGCCCTGGTTTTGCTCGATCGCTTCTTTAATACGAGCAGTATTAAAGTCGCTTAAGTCTCGCCGCATGCATTTGGAGATCTGTCTGTTTAGTTGCCTGTATGCTGTCAAATCTGTTGACGATTGCAGCCTTATCTACATAGTCTCCTAACAAATCAATACATTTAGTCCATCTTTTTTCTAAACCTAGGATTCCCTTTTTCCCTCTTAAAATTCTTTGTATTGACCCTTCCAAAATGCTTCAACAGCGGCCATTACTTCGCTATCGTCTTCGAATTTCTTGCCTCGGAGGTGTTCCTTGAGCCGAGGAAAGAGGTAGAAGTCA